TCGAGAGTCAAGATAATTTTTGTTTCTCCCTTCTGGGCGTATCCTTGCATGACAGGTTCAAGCATGTCTAAACGGTATTGCAATGGAACACTGCTGCTGCCGTAGAAACCACTCCCATTCACCATTGAATCCAAGGTGCATATGTCTCCCTGTCGCAGTATGCGCTCGTCATAAAGCAAAGATTCCAATGCACCGGGACCAGCTTCATACGCCTCCAATGACAGAGCCGTTACGACGATCTCAGTGATAAATATAGGCCGTAAAACTGTGACGGCGACACATGGAGCATCAAGGGAGAATACACGCCGGTAAGCTGTTAACCAGGAAGGAGGAACAGCCAGATGTTCGGTCTACGGGAGACGCTTGAGCGTGCTTTGGCATTCGGTCAGAGAATAGTCACACCTGCTCATCGAGAACAGCCCAGAATGAGACGGTGCAAAGGCCAGGAGCTGGGGCATGACGATTGGAAGTTGCCGAAAGGTAGAGTTGCTGAGTATCGTTCCCTGAACGTAGCAGGTCCCACAGCTGCTTCCCAAGCAAGGCAACACCGGAGCCACGATACTCTGTAACAGGTTTGATTTTAAAGTGCGTGTCGACGGATGGTCGAGGGCCGAGCAAGCTCATAGTCAAGTTTTGAGAGAAGGCGAAGACGTCGTTTTATAACAAGGGCAAACAACTAACATTTTCAGTATGAACCGCGGAGCCTCTCGTGGTGGTTTCAGAGGGGGAGGAGGTCCGTTGTTCCGTGAGCTATGAATGCACCTCTTACCTATCGTTTAGGGCGCGGGGGTGGCCGAGGTGGCTTTCAGCAACGCGATTTTGGTCCACCAGACACTGTTTTAGGTGCATTCAATTTTGTTCCATTTTCGTTTCTGCGCCTTATACCTGCGGCAGAGATGGGCTCTTTCATTCACGCCGTCGAGGACGAAATGTTGTGTTCGTCACTCATGCCCGACAAAGTCCCCTACTTCAACGCCCCCATTTACTTGCAAAACAAGTCTGTCATCGGCAAAGTCGACGAAATTCTTGGCCCAATCAACGAGGTCTATTTTTCAATAAAAATGGGGGACGGGATGGTCGCGAGCAGCTTCAAAAAGGGGGATAAAGTCTATATTGGTGGAGACAAGCTCCTACCAATAGACAGATTTCTACCGAAACCAAAAGTCGTCGGAGGTGCGTCGTAATTTTGGTATATAGTGGAAAACCACTGATGTATGTGCAAATCTAGGTGTCACCAGTGAGCATGCCCAGTTCATCGCACACGGACAGTTTATCTTACCTTTTTCAGAACGAGGGCGCGGCCGAGGGGCACCCGGGGGGCGCGGAGGGCGCGGTATGGCTGGCGGACGAGGATTCCAGCCGAGGGGGGGTCCCCGCGGACGTGGGGGAAGAGGTGGGTTCGGGGACCGCGGCGGGTCACGGGGGAGGGGTGGTTTCGGGGGTGGTTTCGGGGACCGGGGAGGGCGGGGTGGCGGCGGTGGGTTCCGAGCACGTGGAGGAGGAGGCGGACGGGGCTACTGAGGTGCGTACACGATGCTCGTCGCGTCGACGGCGCCCAATCGTCTGCAATCTGTTAACAATTTCATTCATCGTAGTTACAGGCGGACGTAGCTCTGGGAGTGAGGATTGTGTATTGTAGTGCGCTACTGTTCAGAATTTATATTTTCACGACGCAAGGCTACCGCTGAGGGCCCCGGCCGTTCTGATTCCACGAGCAAGTGCGACAGCAACTGGCGGAGATTTGGATAAAACGCGATCACGTTGTCGGAGTCGCCAGAGAATCAATAAAATTATGTTTGCTTAGTTCTGGAATTCGTTGCGCGCTCAGCGTACATTTCCGGCTTGGAACATTGGGCGTTGACATCGACGGTGCACTGAGAGAGCTGTTTGCGTCCAAGCTTTTGTTTGTTCGACGATCTTTGCTCGAAACCAAACACCACAATGGCCATGCAGTTCTGGAAACCTGGTACCACGGCGCCAGGCAGCAGCCTTGACCGAGAAACTGAAGCCGAGGGATACGCTGTTCCATCTGCCATCTCTTCTCTGTCCATCCAAAGCCAACGCGAACGCCTTCCCATCTTCAAGCATCGCACGTATTTCATGCTCGCCGGGCGAGGCCTCGTCTTAACTGCCTTTGTTTTCAGGAGATAAGCTTCTCTACGCTGTTGAAAAGCATGGGGTCATCATTGTGGTCGGCCAGACTGGTTGCGGCAAGACCACGCGTAAAGAAAATTTCCACAGAATTGTCGTCGTCGCTGACAGTTTCTCAGAGTTGCCGCAGTATCTCATGGAATCTGGCTGGGCAGAGAATGGCAATGTTATTGCTTGCACTCAACCTCGCCGCGTTGCTGCCACCTCAGTAGCTGGCCGAGTAGCCTCTGAAGTCGGGTCCATTCTTGGGGACGAGGTATGCAATAGCTCGCCGTTGTCTAGCGCCCTGCTTATACCGTTTTAGGTGGGCTATACCATCCGATTTGAAGATGTCAGTGACAAGGAAAGAACCCGAATACTGTACATGACGGACGGGATGCTCTTTCGCGAAACCCTGGTCGATCCTCTGCTGAGCCGATACAGCGTTATTATGGTAAGTTATGAGGAGTCAATTTTGACCTGACACCTAATTCAAGATAGATTGACGAAGCTCACGAACGCAGCGTTTATACGGATCTCCTGCTGGGCGTCTTGAAGAAGTACGAGTTTTCTGAACCTGCCAAGTTATAGTCTCGCTTACATTACCAGAATCCGGCGGAAACGACCGTCACTCCGACTCATTGTCTCTTCGGCGACCTTGGATGCTACTTCTTTTCTCGACTATTTTACGGCTTCCACGTCGCCTGAGGAGGCCGCCATTGTTAGTCTTGAGGGTCGGATGTATCCCGTCGAAGTAGCATATCTACAAGAACCCGCCCCAGACTATGTTCGAAAAGCAGCTGAAGTTGCTTGGAACATCAACTTGCAGGTAGCGCCATAATGCTGTTCCGGATCTCTTATATCAAACCCCTTTGCAGCAAGGTGCCGGCGACATCCTGATATTTTTAACGGGCCGAGAAGATATTGAAAGATGCCTCGAGGAGTTTTCAGACTTGCTACCGACGTTGGTGACATGGACGAGCTTCTTTTCATGTCTCACTTTCCCTCCTCCCCAGCTTGCCTAGAACCGCGACACGCCTGGTACCGCTGGCACTCCACGCCGGCTTGTCGACTGATGAACAACTACGAGTGTTCGAACCTGCAGACCGGGGTACTCGCAAGGTCATAATATCGACCAATATTGCCGAAGTAAATTCCACTTAGTATCTTGTTCGCAAAACTGGTGCTAAAACTCATGAACAGGCGAGTGTAACTATCGAAGGAATCAAATTCGTAGTCGACTGTGGTTTCGTCAAGGTCGGTTGCTGTCTACTATCCAAAATACTGTCTGAATTCCTCCCAGATCCGAACGTATAACCCGACGACGGCACTTGCCTCTCTAGCAACTGTCCCGACGTCTGTGGCATCAGCTACGCAGCGGGCGGGGCGAGCCGGACGTACCTCTCCGGGCGTCTGCTATCGCCTTTACCCAATAACTGCGTTCGACTCCCTTCCTCTATCGACTCCACCTGAAATTACCCGGACGGATATGACCACTCCTATACTGCAGCTCAAGTCGCTGGGCATAGATGATCTCATGAAATTTGAATGGGTTTCAGCTCCGCCGGCGGAAAGTGTTCTCAGGGCGCTGGAAGGTCTTGTTGCCGCAGGGATGATAGGTGAGGATGGTCGGCTGACAGTGGTAGGGGAGCAGGTTGCAGAGTGCCCCGTCGAGGTGGTTGTCGCGCGAATGGTCAGTGTCTCGGTCTCGATATATTATGTATCTGAACCCCAGTCTAGTTATTTAGTTCAAAGGAGTTGAAGTGCGGAGAGGAGATCCTCACTATCGCGGCAATGACTTCTGTACAGGTATCTCGACCCCTTTCATTCTTGTGCCGTCATTGACCTGAAATAGGATGTTTTTGTCATTCCTGATGGAGCCCAAGGTGCTTTGGCTGAACTCGAGCGGCGCAAGTTTACAGCCGAAGAAGGGGTCATTGAATTTATCATTTTTTTTTCCTGGACGTTTTACTGACGGAGCAACAGGATCATCTTACGCTGTTAAATGGCAAGTACCTTGGGTTCAGTCATTATCGCATCTTCTAATTTCCTTCAGCTTATAACGCCTTTACAAGATATGGCCGTTCCTCGGGTTGGTGCAAATCACACGCCCTGTCGTTCCGCGCGATGTCGCGTGCAGTTTCAATTCGAGCTCAGCTCAAAAAATACATGCAACGTTTTAATTTACCCACCGAAAGCTGTGAGGGGGACGCAAAACGGCTACGACAGTGTCTTGTGAGCGGCTATTGGCGTAACGGGGCTAGATGGGTCGCCGACGGGACATATCGGTCTGTGCGAGGCAACCGGGTACGAGGACCTGTTTTCACGCATGTCGCAGATATGTCGCAGATATTGACATGACCTTAGACTCTGCATGTGCACCCAACATCAGTCCTTTTTACACGAAAACCTCGCTCTGGTTGGGTCGTTTTCCACGAAATGGAAGAGACCAAAAAGACTCAGTAAGCTGAGCGACCTTGAGCGTATACTCGATTTTAACGCTTTTCAATGCAGGATCCGTATCATCACTGAGATCGAACCCGATTGGTTGGTCGATCATGGCCATAAATTCCAGGACAAGCGCGTGGAGGGTCGCTCGTGAGCAAAAAGACCATTTCAATTTGGTGTACGGTCATTGGATTCGCTTCGCCTGTCCGCAATGGTTTTCTGGGACTTGTCTGAAATCAACAAAGACTACAACAAACAGATTTGAGCAATTCGTCTTCTGCGACGATTATGGTAGAAGTTTGGTGCAGTCCAACAGATTTGTTGGCGTGAGGTAATGACAGTTGTAATAGTTTGTTTCTCACTAAATATTTGGAGTAGGGAAGGCAAAACGAAAATAAAACCTATGGTGGTGGAAAAAGAGCTGGACGCACAGGGGTTTGAACCCTGGACCGCATACAAGAGTATTACGCAAGATGATTACGTAAAGGTGCAAAGCATGAGTGATACCACTACACCATACGCCCATAACAGAGAAAGTCTCACTTTTTCGATATCACCGTGGGGAGGTTGCTCAGGTGGTTACTTTTCGAGACCTTCATAATGTGTGTGCAATGTTCTGGCACATCCATACCTCTAGATCTTATGCTGTGTTTACAGTAATTGCCAATCGCGCGGCGTAGACGACAGTTATTCATGTGGAGTAGAACTTGAAATAATGAAATGAAATGTAAAAATGACACTTACACCATACATACGCCCATACGGAGAAAAAAAAAGTGTGTTCAAACTCAGAACTTGTCTTCCACCGTGCAAGAATCGGTATTATATCGTATAGTACGTACTGTACATTAGTATGCAAGGCAGTTCAGAGTACATTAAATAGTCGAGTCTCCGGCCTCATTCAAGCACCGGAGTTTGAGAAATACATCGCTACCTGGGCTTGAATTCAGTATCGCTGCAGATCCAGGTACAAGATATACTTGCCCCATCCTTCCAATGACATGAGATCCAAGGAACCTCCAAAATACCTGCCGATGAATGCGTATTGACTGGCTTGAGTGTTGAAAACGGACATCCACAAACTTACTGGGCGTATAATTTACTCATCGGCAAGCCTGAAATGGTTTAGAAAGCTAGTGGACAATTTAAGAGTTCCAGCGCACCATAACCGAGCCCGGCAATAGACCCGAGGCCAGTTTGTAGGCCTTTGGAAGTCATCTCGCTGAATAAATTGGTATCCCCACCGCCGATGTTAGCGAGCCCCCCAACGTGTTGGGCAGCGTATGGCCCGCCGCCCCCATCCAAGTCGTGCTCGTCACTTTTTGCAGTGGTGAAAGCGTACGAAAAGATCCGTGCCATGTTGCTTGGGGATACTCCACCACCCTCATCCCGGATCCGTATCGAGAAGAAGCTCGATTTCGTGGCCCCGGTTGACCCGGGCATTGGTGGACATAGGGTAATGCGCACAGGGGGGAGCATGCGGGCCTTATGGAACTCGACCGTCGCGCGGAAAGAGTTCTTAAGAATTTCGGTGAGGATGTACTCGAGGTGGACAGGGACGTATCTGCAGATTTGGCTGTAAGACCTTGTCAGATAGAAGATAAATACGGCGCACGCAAACGTCGCGTCTGGGTGCCCGTCGATGATGATAGAGGGGCTTGCGCCGAGCGTCGCTGATGACAGCTCTGCAACGTACGATTCACACATGCGGATCATCTGCAACGGGGAACATTGCATGTCCACGACGCCGATATTACCGACCTCCACCTGAGACGCTTCCTCCAACGCGCGCGAGATGGCTATGTGCTGCTCCGCGATTAGACGCACAGATATCCGGTTGCGGATCGCGCCGTCCAGGAAGCTGCTGACTTGCGTCGGAGACATGTATTTTGCGCACTCGAGAAACCTAGAACCAGCGTTAGTTCCAGTCAAGAGACAAGAGAGTGGAAGCACGCGCCCTTTTGCCATCGTCGGAATGTCATTGGCGTGACGGTGAACGAGATCTTCGAGTTGTTCTGTAAACTTTTTGTTTTCCTCGAGTGTAGATACCGCAGGATAACTGTGCGGGAGATGAACCTGCTGCCGCTCACGGAATGAAAGTTGCTAACGTGGCAAGAAGCTGGAAGCTATCTCTGTACGCATTGAGCGCGTTTGCGACATATGGATTGGTCCCGACTATGAACGGGAGTGCTTCCAGGGAGCGAACGCGCATTGCGAGCCGCCGTGGTATCTCGGCGAGTGCATATGTGACAGATGAAAGCACCGAGGTTGAGGTTACCTTGCAGGAACGCGTGAGTTTGGAACTATACTACTCAGGAGAAGGCGGTATTACGGGGCGACCAAAGGACAAAAGGGATCCAAGATCGAGCGGAAGTGGGGAACTTTTGGAATAGCGCTGAAGAAGCTCGGTGAGTTCTGCAGAGGTGGGCTGAGGCGCGCGCCGGGAGTAAGTACGAATGCAAGAATTGAACCTCAACATATCAGTCAAAGGGGCGATTGGCACAAAGCAGTGCACAACGTTATCATCCAGAGTGTATTGCAGAAATTAAGTACGTGCTATAGAAAAAGAAAAACGACAACAAGGGAAGCAGATGGGAATACAGCAGACCGGGTATGAGCCAGGACTTTTAAATGAATTAGTCTAACAGTCGACTCCGAAGCATGGTCAAGAATAATAAAACGCCCAAAATATATAGCTCATTTTCCAGCCGTCGTCTGTGCCGCACATCAGCATCGTCGATCCAGCTCAAACAGAGCCAGGACTCACAGCAATCCCATTCAATGTCCGGCTCGAGTGGTACGTCGAGAGACCCTGGCCCTGCGTCGTTCGGTACGACCGCGACGATCCAAGTGTCGCAGGCTGCGACGAGTTGCTCGGAGTCGTCGGAACACCATTCCCAGTAGTTCGGGTCGTCCGCGCAGTGAGAGGTGTTGGAGCACTGATGAGAGACTTCTTCGGTGTCTCCAGCACCTGCTTGACGCGACTGCTCCCCAGTGTTGACGATGAAAGGGTCGCTTTCGGCGTCGTGGAAGGTGGAGGTGGTTTAGGACGCTTCCCCGCCGTCACAAACGGATGTCTCAGGGCCGCTTGCGGCTTGATTCGCCGCTCGGGGTCCCAGACCAGACATTTCGCAATGAAGTCGATGAATTCTTCGTCGTTGCATCTCAAGACTTGCGCAAGCGTCTTGGTTCCAGGTCTTCTCCGTCGACCCTTGGAGTTAATTACTGCGCGCGGCGCCCCATTAGGATCTGCAAGTTCAACATGTTAGATCGGTCGTGGTTAACAGGTGGCGAGGGAACGCACCGAAAAAGAGCTTCTTCCGGGAACTGCGGTTGACGAACTCTTTGTCGGGGATACCGAGAACCTCCATGATGCATGAAAGCTGCTCTTGTTCATTCTCGCCCGGGAATATGGGGAACCCCGTATACAGCTCCGCCAAAATGCAGCCCAGACTCCACATGTCGATGGCCATATGGTAATTCATACCAAGGATGACTTCCGGCGACCGATAGAAACGACTCTGAATATAAGTATAGACTAGAGAAATACCCGTTAAGCATGGAGCTGATGACCGAGGACAACGACAAACTTTTCTCGTGCTCAAGACAGCTGCTACCGAAGTCGATGACCTTGATGGCACTCTTTGCAGGGTGCCGTAGCAGGACATTCTGGATTATAGATTCAGAACACAGAAATACTCAACAGGACGCAAATACTGACCTCTGGTTTGAGATCGCAGTGGACGATACGATGATGACGCATCAATGAGAGGGACATCAGCATTTGGCTCGTAAAGCGCCTGATCAAGGCAGTCGTAAAGCCAACGAAACCGTTAGCTTTGATAAGCTCATAAAGATTAATGCTGAGGAGCTCCATCGCAATGCACAAATGGTTTCTGAAGTAAAAATGTTCAGTCATCTTGATCACATGATGTTTCTCTTCCGCATCCTGCAAAGGGCAAAAGAGCATGTTAAAATTTTGTAAAGTGAGTGTAATAATTGAAGACTCGCCCATTTACGCAGGTTATCCAGGATCTTGATCTCCACGAGTGCCTGATGATGAAACCGCTTCTTGTTCCGGATAATCTTGATTGCGACCGACTCCCCGGTGCAATGATCGCGACAATGCAATACTTGTCCAAAAGACCCTTTCCCCAACGTGTCGATAACCTCGTATCGGTATGCAAGATGGTCGTGATTGACGACAAGGTAGTCGCCTCGGTCATCATCATACCCGTAATTATTCGTCGAGTTGTCCAACACCGCAGGCTTCTTCTTGCTTCGGGCTCCAATGCAATATACAGCGGGGAAATCGAGGATTTCTTTGCGTTCATATTCAGAGAGGAACTGGTTCTGGGAGCTTTTGAGGAGCGCTAACGAAATTGCAGTCGTCAACAACTGGCCCGATAGAAGAAAAAATGGACGAACCTGCCGGGGTAGAAGGAGTGCCTGGAGGCAAGGGCTCGGGGAAATTCAAAAGCTCGTCCAGCTCTTCCTGTGTTGCACCAGACGCCATTTTCTTGGCCTGCTGGCGGCGGATATAATGCATCATCTCTTCATCGCCTTGAACCTCCTCGTCGTCCACAGAGCTAGGAACGGGGGATGGTGTAGACAACGATTGGCGACTCGAAGACGGCGAGTTGGCAACTTGTTGGATACTCGACGTCGAGTTGGAAGCACGTGCTGATGAAAGCCCAATCTTGGGACTGAGGAGCTTCAGCCCACGAGACGGCGAAAGAGCAGAGAATCGATGATGGGAGGATGATTCCGCGGGAGCGCTAGTGGTAGACCCAGAAGCCACCGAACTAGTCGAGGGTTTGCGGAACGAAATAGAATCACGATTTGACTTGCGAGTCAGTACGTTGGACGAAGTTGAAGCTGTGGTCCCTGTCGATGATTGTCGAGGAACACGAGACGTCGAGACTGTCGCAGGGGATCCCCGGACAGACGCAGTTCGAGTCGGACCAGAAACAGTTTTTGGTTGGCTGTCCTCACTTTCCATTACCCCAAATTCGTTGGTCGCCATGCCAGTCGGCGAAGGGTTCGTCGACGACGATACTCCACTTACATTAACGCTGGCACGGCGACTGTTGAACGCACCCTTTTGCATTGGCGACCCAACCGTGGAGGTTCGACTGGAAATGCGAGGGATCTTGGTCGGGGTTTCCTTTGGCAGGCCCGAAACAGAGTTGGTCAAGGACGATGGCGGAGGCTCTTTAGCCTCTTTCGATACACCATTCGTCCCAGTTGTCCCAACAGAAGGTGAACCCGCGATTGTAGGCAGCACATTGCGTGCGCGCAGCGAGCTATCCGACTGCTTTTGCATGGAGCTTACTGTCTGCGAGGTAAGTCTCGAAGACGAAACCGTCCGCGTGGAGCTGCTAGGGGTGGACGAAGGTGTCGAAGTAGTGGAGGAAGTAGACTTGAGTCGAGCAACACGCTGGGCGGTTGCTGGCTCCAAGGCAGCCATTTGTAAAGGAGGAAGATGAACAGGTGACTTTGTTTTCCGACTGGGGGGATCTGT